TTGTTTTGAACGGGGGATCAGACATTATCATATTCTAGGTAACTGCTAATCAAAGCTTGTGAATCTTATCCCCTTCTTGTATTTTAATAAATGACATTATTCATCTCTATTAAAGTGTTTTATTTGACTTATACTAAATTAGCAAAAACAAGCAGCGTTGAGCTTGCATATGAGCATAAGAATACATAAATGATTGTTTTTAACTTTCGTATTTTTTCCCCTGTTGAATTGTAATGGCTAGCAACCTCATCATCAATAAGCTTCAAAATTTAAGAATATTCTATTTAAGCATAATTTAAGTACATTTTTTTTCTGAGGAAGGTTTCTCTAGATTCTCTAGATAAAGTGATGATAGTTCGACCTTCAATGTATAATAATATATCCTTAATCTTAATCATTTTTCTTTTTATGCAGGTCATGGTGTTCCCTTTGGTGGGTACGCGAATCCGAAAGGAAAAAATATTGTATCGACTTTGCCAAATACTAATACTACTTTTAATAGTAAGAATTTAAGAATTAAGAATTAATTCAAGCATAATTTAAAGACATTTTTTTCTGAGGAATGTTTCTCTAGGTTCTCTAGATAAGGTGATAATAGTTCGACCTTCAATGTATAATAATATATCCTTAATCTTAATCATTTTTCTTTTTATGCAGGTCATGGAGTTCCCTTTGGTGGGTACGCGAATCCGAAAGGAAATTATATTGTATCGAATTTGCCAAATATTACTTTTAATAGTAAGAATATTTCTAACTAATATTAAGAGTTTTATTCGGACAAATCAAAAGAGAAACAGTCAAAGTTTTAGCCCACATTCGTATTACTTCTGAAGTTTTTCTGATCGAATGAATTGCCCTGTGTCTCTGTTGATTTTTTTTTTATCGAAAAAAGCTTGCATTTGGAATTTATTCTTCAAAATCACTGACCCGAATTCATGAAAACAGACCACAAAGCTACTTTAGTGAAATAAAATTTCAATTTGATGAAATGACAGGCCCATATTCTATCAAAAGAGAATTTTGGCAAGCATTGTTAAGATTTTGATATTCCTCATTTTTTTTCTAAACAATATCATAAATTTAAATAGCTCATTTTTACCAAGTAAAACATGACGAATATTTTAGTATGCTCAGACTAATTCCTCTTGGACTAGAATGGAGATGGTCAAAAATTTTTTTTTCATAAAAACAAGATTAAACCAGTCATATTATTTCGCACATATGATGTTGTTTAAATACAAATTTATCTCGATTTTCTTTAATTAACAATTAAAGTTAATTTTGTACAAGTCATCATTCAACAGCATATTGTCAGACTTTAAGTAATATTGATATAAGTAATTTAAAGAAGAGCAAGTGTTTCTCATAGCAAAAAAAAAAAACAAAACAAAAAAACACAAAAAAAAAAAACAAAACAAAAAAAACACTGATCGTAGGAATTAGAGACGTCATGTAATGATCGTTTTGAAGTTTCGTATCTTTTCCCTGGCGAATTGAAATGTCTAGCAAGCTTATCATCAATAAGCTTCAACATGTAAGAGTATTATATTAAAGAATTGTTAAGAAACGTATGTTTTTTCTACAAAATATTCGATAGATTCAATAGCTAAAAGGATGATAATTCGACCTTTAATGTACAATGTCTCCTAAATCTCAATTCATTTTCTTTTTATACAGGTCAAGGAGGTCCCTTTGGTGGGTACGCGAATCCGAAAAGAGAAAATATTATATCGACTTTACCAAATACTATTTTCAATAGTAAGTATATTTGTCACTTATATTTAGAGTTTCAATACAGCAAATCAAAAGAGAAAGAAAGTTTTTGCTCACGTTCACATAAGTTAAGAAGGTTTATCTGATCAAAGAGTTTCCGACATGGATCGCTCTGTGTCTGTGTTATATTTTGTCAGAAAACAGCTTGCATTTTGAATTTAACCTTCAAAATCAACTATGAAAATTTATGCAAACTGACCACAGATCTACTTTAGTGAAAGGAATTTTAAATTTGATAAAATGACGGGCTCCATAATCTATTGAAAAAAAATTTTGGCAAGTAGTGTAAAGATTTTGGTATTCCTCAAATCTTTATTTTTTCCCCTATAGAACCTTTTAGCTTTAAATTTATATTTACAATATAAAAAATGAAGGACATTTTAGTATGCTCAGAGTAGTTCCTCTTGGATTAGAATGGAAATGTTTAAAGATTTTTCTTTCATAAAACAGGATAAAACCGCGCATACTTATTCGCAAAAATGATGTTTCTTTAATACATGTTTATCTAGATTTTCTTTGAATTTAACTAGTAAAGTAACAAGACATCATTCAGCAGTGTATCGTCAGAAAGAAGTAATATTGACTTAAGTGTTTAAAGAAGAGCAACTGTTTCTAAAAGGAGAAATATTGCTGATTGAAAATTGAGAAGTCATAAAATGATCGTTTTGAACTTTCATATTTTTTGGATCTTGTCGAATTAAGCATGTTAAAATATCCAGCAACCTTATCATCAATATGGTTCATCATTTAAGAGTATTCTATTTTATCATTGTTTAGAGACATGTTTTTTCTTCAAAATATTTCTGTAGAATCTCAAGATAAATGGCTAATTATTCGACCTTTAATGTTCAATATCTCCTAGATTTTAATTAATTTTCTTTTTATCCAGGTCATGGAGTTCCCTTTGGTGTGTACGCGAATCCGAAAGGAAAAAATATTATATCGACTTTGCCAAATACTAATACTACTTTTAATAGTAAGAATATTTGTCACTTATATTTAGATTTTCAATTCAGCAAATCAAAGAAAGACAGTCAAAGTTTTGAGTCACATTCTCATAAGTTAAGAAGGTTTATCTGACCGAAGAGTTTCCGAATTAGATCGCTGTTTTTCTTTTGAAATTTGTCCGAAAACAGATTGCATTTGGAATTTTTTCTTCAAAATCACTAATCTAAATTCATGGAAACTGACCACAGATTGTCCCTAGTCAAATGAAATATAAGTTTGATAAAATGACGCGCCCCATTTTCTCTTGAAAGATATCTTGACCGAGCAGTGTAAAGATTTTGGTATTCGTCAAATACTTTTTTTTAAGGTATCTTTAAGATTTTAATACTGCAAATTAACTGAGTAAAGATTGAAGAACAATTCAGTATGCTCATACCAATTCCTCTTGGACTAGAATGGAAACATTTAAAGACGTTTCTTTCATAAAAACAGGTTTTCGCACAAATGATGTTGTTTTAGTACAAAATTTATCTTGATTTTCTTTTAATTAACAATTAAAGTAAATTTTGTACAAGACATCATTCAGCAGTATATTGTCAGAATTTTCGTAGTATTGATTTAAGTGTTTTAAAGAAGGGCAAGTGTTTCTTATAGCAAAAAAAAATTCTGATCGTAGGTAAATGAGAAGTCATGAAATGATCGTTTTAAACAGATTTTGTATTTTTAACACTGTCGAATTAAAATGGTTAGCAACATTATGACCAATATGCTTCAATTTTTAGAAATATTGTGTTAAAGCATTGTTTAGAAGCATGTTTTTTTCTACAAAATATTTCTGTAGATTCTCAAGATAAATGGATAATAATTCGACTTTTAATGATTAATATCTCCTAAATTTTAGTTCATTTTCTTTTTAACCAGGTCACGGAGTTCCCTATGGTGGGCATGCGAATCGTAAAAGAAGAAATATTATATTGACTTTACCAAATACTAGTTTAAATAGTAAGAATATTATTCTCTTATATATAGAGTTATATTCGTAAAAATCAGAAGAGAAAGAAAGGTTTTCTTCACATTCTCATAAGTATAATATACTTCATCATTTAAGAAAATTGTACTTTAGTATTGTTTTGAGACATAAATTTTTTTTCTAGAAAATATTTCTGTAGATTCCACAGAGAAAAGGATGATAAATCGACCTTTAATGTACAATATCTCCTAGATTTTAATTCATTTTCTTTTTATCCAGGTCATAGTGTTCCTTTTGGTGGACAGGGGAATCCGAAAGGAGGAAATATTATATCAACTTTACCAAATATTAATACTACTTTTAATAGTAAGAAAAATTTTCACCTACATTTAGGGTTTCATTTGAGAAAATCAGAATAGAACCAGTCATAGTTTTAGCTTACATTCTCAGAGGTGAAGAAGGTTTTTATTTGATCATAGAGTTTCCGACATGGATCGCTCTGTTTCTCTGTTGAATTTTGTCCGAAAACAGATTACATATAAATTTTTTCTTCAAAATTACTGATCCAAATTCATGGGAACTGACCACAGAGTATCTTTAGTCAAATGAAATGTAAATTTGATAAAATGACGCGCCTCATTGTTATCGAAAGAAAATTTTGGCAAGCAGTGTAAAGAATTTTGTATTCCTCAAATGCTTATTTTTTTGTCTAAAGAATCTTCTAGAATTAAGTAGTTCACATCTACTAAGTGAAAAATGAAGAATATTTTAGTATGCTCAGATCAATTCGTCTTAAAGTAGAATGGGAATATTAAACTGAGTCATAGACCTACAATAATTTTATTAAATGTTCAGAGATTTTTCATTGATAAAAACAGAGAAAACAGAGAATTAAACTATTTATACCACCACGTTAATTATTAATTTTTTGGGATTTTCCTTTTATGAACAAGTAAAGTAAATTTTGTACAGGACATTATTTAGCAGTATATTATCAGGATTACGAATTGTTGACTTAATTCGTTTAAAGTGGAGCAAGCCTTTTAATAGAGAAAAAAATATAACTGAATGCAGGAAATTGAGAAGTCATGAAATGATTTTTCTGAACTTTTGTATTTTCTGACCTTGACGAATTAAAATGGCTAGCAACCTTTTCATCAATATGCTTCCTCATTTAAGAGCATTCTATTATAGATATGTTCAAAGACTAATATTTTTTCTACGGAATATTTCTCTAGGTAAAGGGACAATGAATCGACCTTTAATGTACAATATCTCCTAGATTTTAATTCATTTTCTTTTTATACAGGTCAAAGTGTTCCCCTTGGTGGGCAGGCGAATCCGAAAGGAGAAAATATTATATCAACTTTACCAAATTCTACTTTTTATAGTAAGAACACTTATTTTGTACTTGTCACATATTTTTAAAGTTTCATTTGGCCAAATCGCAAGAGAGATATAGTCAAAAGTTTAGCTCAATTTCTGTTTGGTTAAGAAGATTTATCTGATCGAAGAGGTTCCGACATTGGTTGCTCTGTTTCCGTGTTGATTTCTTCACAAAACAATTTTAATATGGACTTTATTCTTCAAAATCACTATCCGAATTCATTCAAACTGACTACAGAGTGTCTTTAGTCAAATGAAAATTTAAGCTTGATGAAAAAACGGGCCCCATTGTCTTTTTTGAGAGCAGTGTAGAGTTTTGGGTATTCTTCATATACTTATTTTTTTTTCAAAAGAATCTTTCAGCGTTTAATACTGCACATTTACTAAGTAAAGAATGAAGAAATAAAAATCACTTCATTAATATTCAGATCAATTTCTCTCGGACTTGAGTGGAAATATTATACTTAGTCATAAACTTACGAAAATGGTATAAAATTTTCTGAGATTTTGCTTTGATAAAACTAATCATTTTCTTTTTATCCAGGTCAAGGAGTTCCCTTTGGTGGGCACTTGAATCCGAAAGGAGAAAATATTATATCTACTTTACCAAATACTACTTTTAATAGTAAGAATATTTGTCACTTATACTTAGAGTTTCATTAGAGTAACTCGGGAGAGAACCAGTCAAAGTTTTAGCTAACATTCTCATATGTTGAGAAGGAGTGTCAGACATAGATCGCTTTGTTTCTCTGTTGAATTTTGTCCAAAAACATCTTTCATTTGGAATTTATTCTTCAAAATCACTGATCCAAATCTGAACTGAATTCATGCAAACTGACCACAGAACGTCTTTACTGATATGGAATTTAATTTTAATGAAAAATCTGACCTAATTTTCTATAGAAAGAGATTTTTAGTAAGCAGTGTCAATTTTTTGGTATTCTTCTAATATTTATTTTTTCTGAGGAATCTTTTACCTTAAAATAGCGCAAATTTTTAAAGTAAAAAATAAAGAACATTACAGTATGCTCCGACCAATTTTTCTTGGATTAGAGTGCGCAGTACAGTTAAGGCAACATTTTCTATAAAAAGTCACGGAATCCGATACATATAATGTTTAACAGTTTTATTTTTTAGCAAGACACTCTAGTTAAAACAGCTTTTTGTGATCTTGAAGAGTATGTCCATCGCTTTTCACATCGGTATTTTTTGACATCATGTGACCCCCTGAAGTCACGTGGGCTCCGATTTTAGGTCAAAAAATGAAATGTCAAATTTAACCAAAAAGTGCAAGGGCAAGACAAACAAAAAATTAACTGCACAATGTTTTATGTTGTCTCTATGTATCTATACTTTCTCAAAAGTGATGCTCATTCAGTTAGTTTTCCGATATAATTAAGTTATTTAGCTTTAACAGACAGTAATGTATGAAAAATATGATATTTTCCTAATTTCATCAAGAATTATAAATTAACTAAAGGATTACAAAGTAATGAGCATCACTTTTTGAAAACTATACAATAAAATGAATAATTTAAAATAAAAACCTACTTTTTAGATTGTCGCCTTGCCCTTGCACTTTTTGATTAAAAAATGAAATCTTGGAAGAGTCAATCTAATTATAGTTTTCAAACGCATCACTGACCCAGCATGGGAGATAACTCTTAAGTACTTGAAATAGTTTGTTTACCTCGTAAATTTAAAATATATATACATGCGGGCAGGACTTGACTCTTTTTTTTTTACTAAATCAAACGGTATGCATTAAAATCCTTGACATTTCTTTCTTTTCTGTGTATTCGTTCTCCATACGTTGTATACATTTAATGTCTTTCAAACCTCCTGCATTTCCACAACGATGTGTATATACACGTAGTATTACACACAAATAGGTATAAATATTGCCGATATATTTATGCAGAACACAAATGGTTAATTAAAATATAGCCTTCATTAATATTCAATTAGATATCTTTTCCCCTCTCTCACTACTGTACGCATAGGCCTCGGAACAGGGGAGGGAGGGGGGGCTCCCTACTTATTTGCAAATTATATACATAATGTAGGCATTGGAATTTTCCTTTTTCTTTTGGCTTAGCCCCCCCCCCACCCCCTTTCAATCAGCCCCCTTTCATTTTGCTTCCGACGCCTATGGTACACACACTTGTGTTAATATTTTTTTTTCTTTTTGCATACGAGGTCATGTTCTACGATCGCTTTCAATCAGACCGCTTACTGTTAATAAAGGGATATAAACTAAGTTATAAGTTTAAGGTACTAATAAGAAAGAATTGGGGTATACTCCTGTATTTGTTAAGGGGACAGCTATTTTATTTTGAGGGTGAGGGACTGGCAGATTTTAAAAATAAATACTTGCAGATCAGTGATCTCCCCCTCCCACGAATCAGAGTTTTTTTTTACATTTTTTTTTTGCATGTAGTATTTTTAATGAAGATGAAAACGAATAAATAATCTGTCTTTCATCTTATTGATCGGAAATAAACATTAATCTGTCCTTCATTGACATGAAAATGAAAAAAAATCTGACTTGGAAAAACTCGCCTCCCCCCCCCCTTCCCTTAGAATAAATGGTGGTCCCCTATCCTATTTTGAATCAATTAGGGGGATCTCTAGTCTCCTGTTTTTGGTAATATTATTGAAAGATAAATGAGCACAATGCACATGCTGGAAATAAGATCTTGATGATCATTAGTACCCTCCACACAAAATAGTATGAAAGTTAAGATTTTCATATCTTAATAGCCTTTTCAACACTTGTACAGTAAATATATGAAAAAGTCAAATTATTATTCATCTAGAAAATTTATTTAATAAACATTTCTTTTCAAATCCAAAGACAGACTGTAGGAATGCTGGGCAGGTGCAAATTATTTCCATCACCTCATGTTCTTGTGGATAAAATGAATTCTGAAAATAGGAGAAAATCAGGAAATACCATTATTGAAAGTAATTTGTGTTTAAAAAATGAAATAAAAAATGCATGGAAACATTTAACATTGAATTTACATACATGTGTAACGTGAAGCGGTCACCCATCCAAAGGTTAAACAGGCTCGCCGTTGCTTAACTTGCCTGAAATAGAGGGAGACTCTACCGCATCACCAGAAAAGCTAGCTCACTGGCGAGGCAGTATAAGTTCCCTATATACTGTCCGCTACACATGTTTGCAATTCTTCTGTTAGTTTTATTATCAAAACTTTGTATGGTTTATAGCTTATATTGAGCATACCATTTTCCTTAAATGATGGATTAACTTGCTGTCGGAATGAATCCATTTGTCCAACATCTGGGAATAGCTTAGGGCCTACAACACAATATATATGCAGTTATATGCTATGAGATTAGTAAATATACACTGTAGGATAAAATGGCATTTAATACATTTGACAAAACAAATTATGCTTCATTGTATATTATAGTAAATTTTTATGTAATTGATATAAATGAAAAAAAATGTGTTACAAAACTTCTCTGGGAAAGTAAAGCCTCTGACATTTACAATAGTTATTGATAGAATATTTTCTATAAAAAAAAGTTTCTTCTTTACCAAAGTGAAAAAAAAAACAATATGTAAAGCACATGCAAACTTTGAAAATGTGAAATACTTCAAAAGTATACAAACCCTGTGGAGAAATGATGCATTTTTTATTTATTCACTCTTTAAGCCTGAAACTCTAGACAGCTTCAATGATAAAAGTATTATATAAATATTTTTAATGTACATGTTATCTAAACAAAAAATGATTTTTTTTCATTAATTTAGAAATTCTAGAAAATTACAACCATAAATCTGAAGTGGGGCTTTTATGTTTTTAACACAATGTTACGGATATTTTTTTAAAATTGTGTAGCATATTTGTATGTCAATGAAAATACATCGTTTTTTTTAGGCCTAGTCACTAGTGAATGACTGAAATAATGAAAACATCTCAATCAATTTAGTTTAATTTTGTGTTACTCATGATCTCCATTATTACACATATTGTCTAAAAAAAAAAATGAGCTAATTGACAGGAACTCAGTACATATTTAGTGTAATTAATTTTTAACAATTCTAAAAAGTGTGCAACTTAGTATGGGGCCCATGGGGGAGGGGGGGGGGGTGTTACACACTTGGCACTGCATAATTACAGTTTTTCACAGACTGTACTAATACATTTAAAATGAACATGAACACACTCGGTTTTTTTATGTTAACAAAAGCATGTCTACATATTGTAGATCTACACATGTACCTACATAAGCGTATACATACATGTACCTGGCCTGGAATTACAGTGCAGTGATTGATCTACGGAGCTAGAGCTGGTGCAAATCATCTCAGTTTTCTGCTATTTTCCGAAATAATGTCCTCATGTTCTTGTAAAATGGAGAAGCAATGCCTTGTCTCTTATTTTATCCCTATTTTCTTTAAAGATTGTGTGGTTATTGCATTTAAATCCACTGCAAATCTCAGCTGATGTCGCCACGTTTTTAGATGTAAACAACATTCCGTGTCACCAAGTGCAAGCGCTTGGATGAAGCCGAATGTAGACAAACGACACATTATAAAGAGAATTATTTTAAAGACATGCTATTTTAAATACGAGAAAATCACTAATTATTTTCTATTTAAACATGAAGATATTGTTGTTTATTACAAATTGTTGCCAATATCGGTAAATAGTTATTTTGAGCAACTTTTCCTTATATGGATCAATCAGGGCGGAGCAACTGTCATGACGTCAGTCCTCATTATGACTTCATTACCATATTTTTTTCATGTGTTGCTTTAACTGTACTGCGTGGAAATAATATACTGACATACATAAATGGTATAAAATGTTCAGATATTTTTCTTTTATAAGAACAGGGGATAAAAATATTCATACTTATACGCACAGGTGCCTATGTTTTAATACAGATTTATCGGGATTTTCATTTTATTTAAAGTCAAGAATTGTTGGTTTTAATCTTTCGTATTTCTTTTTACCTTGTCGAATAAAACATGTTGAAATATCCTTCAACCATATCATCAATATACTTCATCATTTAAGAGTATTGTACTTTAATATTGTTTCGAGACATAAGTCTCTAGAAAAAATATTTTCGTAGATTCTACGATGCTTAGAATTTCATTAGAGTAACTTGGAAGAGAACCAGTAAAAGTTTAAGCTCACATTCTCATAGGTTAAGAAGGTTTATCTGATCGAAAAGTGTCCGACATGGATAGCTCTGTTTCTCTGGTGAATTTTGTCCAAAAACATCTTGCATTTGGAATTTATTCTTCAAAATCACAGATCCAAATCTGAACTGAATTCAGGCAAATTGACCACAGAACATTTTTACTGATATGGAATTTAATTTTGATGAAAAGACAGACCCAGTTTTCTACCGAAAGACATTTTTTGGTTAGCAGTGTAAATTTTTTGGTATTCTTCTAATTCTTATTTTTTCCGAGGAATCTTTTACCTTAAAATAGCGCACATTTTCAAAGAAAAACATAAAGAACATTACAGTATGCTCCGACCAATTCCTCTTGGACTAGAGTGGAAATATTAAACTGAGATTCATAATTGGTATAAAATGGTCAGATATTTTTCTTTAATATGAACAGAGGATAAAAATATTCATACTAATACGCACAGGTGCCTATGTTTTAATACAGATTTATCGGGATTTTCATTTAATGAACATCTGAACTTAATTTTGTACAAGACATCATTCAGCAGTATATATTGTCAGAATGAAAGGAATTATATTGCCTTAAGTGTTTTAAAGAAGAGAAAGTCTTTCTAAAAGAAAAGAATACTTCTGATCGTAGGAAATTACATTGAGAAGTCATGAAATGATCGTTTTAAACTTTCTTTTTTTTTTACCTTGTCGAATAAAACATGTTGAAATATCCATCAACCTCATAATCAATATACTTCATCATTTAAGAGTATTGTACTCTAATATTGTTTCGAGACATAAGTTTTTTCTAGAAAATATTTTCGTAGATTCTACAGATAAAAGCATGATAATTCGACCTTTAATGTACAATATCTCCTAAATTTTAATTCATTTTCTTTTTATCCAGGTCAAGGAGTTCCCTTTGGTGGGCACGTGAATCCGAAAGGAGAAAATATTATATCTACTTTACCAAATACTACTTTTAATAGTAAGAATATTTGTCACTTATGCTTAGAATTTCATCAGAATAGTTTGGAAGAGAACCAGTCAAAGTTTTAGCTCACATTTTCATAGGTTAAGAAGGTTTATCTGATCGAAAAGTGTCCGACATGGATAGCTCTGTTTCTCTGGTGAAATTTGTCCAAAAACATCTTGCATTTGGAATTTATTCTTCAAAATCACAGATCCAAATCTGAACTGAATTCAGACAAATTGACCACAGAACATCTTTACTGACATGGGATTTAATTTTGATGAAAAGACTGACCCAATTTTCTACTGAAAGATATTTTTGGTAAGCAGTGTATATATTTTGGTATTTTTCTAATACTTATTTTTTTCTGAGGAATCTTTTACCTTAAAATAGCGCACATTTTCTAAGTAACAAATAAAGAACATTACAGTATGTTCCGACCAATTCATCTTGGACTACAGTAGAAATATTATACTAACATACACAAATGGTATACAATGTTAAGATATTTTTCTTTAATAATAACAGAGGATATACATATTCATACTAATACGCACAGGTGCCTATGTTTTAATACAGATTTATCGGGATTTTCATTTAATGAACATCTGGACTTAATTTTGTACAAGACATCATTCAGCAGTATATATTGTCAGAATGAAAGGAATTATATTGACTTAAGTGTTCTAAAGAAGAGAAAGTCTTTCTAAAAGAAAAGAATACTACTGATTGTAGGAAATTACATTGAGAAGTCATGAAATGATCGTTTTAAACTTTCGTATTTTTTTACCTTGTCGAATAAAACATGTTAAATTTATGTTAAATGATAAATGAAAGTTAAAACATGTTACTTTTTGTAGTAAGAATATTTGTCACTTACATTTAGAGTTTCATTTAGACAATTCAGAAGAGAAAGAGTAAAAGTTTTAGCTCACATTCTCATAGGTTAAGAAGGTTTATCTTATCGAAGAGTAACTAACATGGATCGCTCTGTTTCTCTTTTGAATTTTGTCCGAAAACAGATTGCATTATACACTTTTTCTTCAAAATTACTGATCCAAATTCATGGGAACTGACCACAGAGTGTTTTAGTCAAATGAAATATAAGTTTGATAAAATGACGCGCCTCATTCTTTATCGAAAGAAAATTTTGGCAGGCAGTGTAAAGAATTTGGTATTCCTCAAATGCTTATTTTTTTTCCTAAAGAATCTTTTAGAATTAAGTAGTTCACATCTACTAAGTGAGGAATGAAGAACATTTTAGTATGCTCAGATCAATTCCTCTTGAAGTAGAATGGAAATATTAAACTGAGTCATAGACCTACAATAATTTTATAAAATGTCAAGAGATTTTTCATTGATAAAAACAGAGAATTAAACTATTCATACCACTACGTTACTACTAATTTATTGGGATTTTCGTTTAATGAACAAGTAATTAAAAGTAAATTTTGTACTGGACATCATTTAGCAGTATATTATTAGAATTACGAAATATTGACTTAAGTCGTTAAAAGAGGAGCAAGCCTTTTAATAGGGAAAAAATATAACTGATCACCAGTAAATGATTTTTCTGAACTTTCGTATTTTTTTTACCTTGACGAATTAAAATGGCTAGCAACCTTATCATCAATCTGCTTCATCATTTAAGAGCATTCTATTATATATATGTTCAAAGACTAATATTTTTTTCTACAGAATGTTTCTCTAGATAAAGGGACATTGAGTCGACCTTTAATGTATAATATCTCCTAAATTCTATTTCATTTTCTTTTTATCCAGGTCTTGGAGTTCCCTTTGGTGGGTACGCGGATCCGAAAGGAGAAAATAATATATCGACTTTACCCAATACTACTTTTAATAGTAAGAATATACATATATAGTACTTGTCATAATTTTTAAAGTTACATTTGGACAAATCGAAAGAGAGGTATAGTCAAAGGTTTAGCTAAATTTCCCTTGGTTAAGAAGATTTATCTGATCGAAGAGGTTTCGACATTGGTTGCTCTGTTTTCCCAAAACAGCTTGAATTTGGACTTTATTCTTCAAAATCACTATCCGAATTCATGCAAACTGACCACAGAGTGTCTTTAGTCAAATGAAATTTTAAGCTTGATGAAAAAACGGGCCCCATTGTCTCTCGAAAGATTTTTTTGAGAGCAGTGTAGAGTTTTGGGTATTCTTCAAATACTTATTTTTTTCTTAAGAATCTTTCGGTGTTTAATACTGCACATTAACTAACTAAAGAATGAAAAAATAAAGAACATTTCATTAATATTCAGATCAATTTCTCTCGGACTAGAGTGGAAATATCATACTAAGTCATAAACTTTCGAAAATGGTATAAAATTTTCTGAGATTTTGCTTTGATAAAACTAATCATTTTCTTTTTATACAGATCATGGCGTTCCCCTTGGTGGGTATGCGAATCCGAAAGGAGAAAATATTAAATCTACTTTACCAAATACTACTTTTAATAGTAAGAATATTTGTCACTTATTTCTAAAGCTTCATTTGAGCAATGCAGAAGAGAAACAATAAGAGTTTTAGCTCACAGTAGTATATGTTAAGAAGGTTTATCTTTTCGAAGAGTTTTTGAGATGGATCGCTGTTTTTCTTTTGAATTTTGTCCGAAAACATCATGCATTTGGAATTTATTTCTTCCAAATCCAAATTCATGCAAACTGAGCACAGAGCGTCTTTAGTGAAATGGAATTTAAGTTTGATGAAAAAACGGGCCCCATTGTCTCTCGAAAGATTTTTTTGAGAGCAGTGTAGAGTTTTGGGTATTCTTCAAATACTTATTTTTTTCTTAAGAATCTTTCGGTGTTTAATACTGCACATTAACTAACTAAAGAATGAAAAAATAAAGAACATTTCATTAATATTCAGATCAATTTCTCTCGGACTAGAGTGGAAATATCATACTAAGTCATAAACTTTCGAAAATGGTATAAAATTTTCTGAGATTTTGCTTTGATAAAACTAATCATTTTCTTTTTATACAGATCATGGCGTTCCCCTTGGTGGGTATGCGAATCCGAAAGGAGAAAATATTAAATCTACTTTACCAAATACTACTTTTAATAGTAAGAATATTTGTCACTTATTTCTAAAGCTTCATTTGAGCAATGCAGAAGAGAAACAATAAGAGTTTTAGCTCACAGTAGTATATGTTAAGAAGGTTTATCTTTTCGAAGAGTTTTTGAGATGGATCGCTGTTTTTCTTTTGAATTTTGTCCGAAAACATCATGCATTTGGAATTTATTTCTTCCAAATCCAAATTCATGCAAACTGAGCACAGAGCGTCTTTAGTGAAATGGAATTTAAGTTTGATAAATAATGAATCAATCGGAAGTGAATTTTGGCAAGCAGTGTAAAGATTTTGGTAATCTTCAAACTAATTCTTTTTTCTCGAAAGAATCTTTTATCTTTTAATAGTGCATGTATATGAAGTAAAAATGAAGAACATTTTAGTATGCTCAGACCAATTCCTCTTGGACTAGAATGGAAATATTATACTGACATACATAAATGGTATAAAATATTCAGAGATTTTTCTTTGATAAAATCAGAGGATTGAACTCGTTACACTAAATCGCACATATGCTTATGTTTTAATACAAGTTTATTAGGATTTTTCTTTGATTAACAAGTAAATTTTGTACAAGTCATCATTCAGGAGTATATTGTCAGAATTAAAGGTCATTATGACAAGTGTATAATCGTTTTGAACTTTCGTAATTTTTCCCCTGTCGAATTAAAATGGCTAGCAACCTTATCATCAATATGCTTCAATATTAAAGAACATTATATTACAGTATTATGTAAAGATAAATGTTTTTTCTTCAAAATGTTTCTATATATTCTCTACATAAAGGGGTGATAATTTGAATTTTAATGTACACAATCTCATAAATTTTAGTTCATTTTCGTTTCTATACAGATCATGGAGTTCCCTTTGATGAAAATCCAAAAGGAGAAAATATTTTATCAACTTTACCAAATACTACTTCTAATAGTAAGAATATTTGTCATTTATATTTAGAGTTTCATTTGAGAATATCAGAAGAGAACCAGTCAAAGTTTTAGCTCACATTCTCATAGGTTCAGAAGGTTTATCTGATCGTAGATATGGAGTTTCCGACATGGATCGCTCTGTTTCTCTTTTGAATTTTGTCCGAAAACAGCTTGCATTTGAATTTATTCTTTAAAATCACTGATCTAAATTCAAGCAAACTGACCAAAGAGCATCTTTAGTTATATGAAATTTAAGTTTGATGAAATGACTGGCCCATTTTCTATCGAAAGAGATTTTTGATAAGCAGTGTAAAGATTTTGTATTTTTGTAACACTTACTGTTTTCAAAAGAATCCTTTAGCTTTAGATTACACACATTTACTAAGTAAAGGAAGAAGAACATTTTTAGTGTGCCCGGACCAATTTCTCTTGGTTTAGAATAGAATATAATCTTCTGAGATTTTTCATTTATAAAAACAGAATAAAACTATTCCTACTTATACACACAAATGCTTTTGTTTTTACACAATTTTATCAGGATTTTTCTTTAATGAACAAGGAAAGTAAATTTTTGTACAAGATAGCATTCAGCAGTATATTGTCAGAATTTCAATAATATTTACTTAAGTGTTTGAAAGAAGATCAAGCGTTTCTAATAGAAAAAAAAGTATAACTGAGGATAGGAAATTTCCAAATCATGAAATGGTCGTTTTGAACTTTCATATGTTTTGACGCGGTCGAATTAAAATTGCTAGCAACCTTATAATCGACAATCTTCAATATATAAGATTTTTCTATTTTAGCATTGTTTAAAGGCATTTTTTTTCTACGGAATTGTTCTCTAGAGTCTCTAGATATAGTGATGATAATTCGACTTTTTAAACATAATATCTTCTAAATTTTAATTCATTTTCTTTTCATGCAGTGCATGGTGTCCCCTTCGATGGGTATACGAATCCGAAAAGACCAAATATTAAATCACTTCTACCTAGAAATACTTTAAATAGTAACATGAGTTGTCACTAATATTAGTTTCATTTGGACAAATAAGACGAGAAACAGTCCAAGTTTTAGCTTACATTCTCATAGGTTAAGAAGAGTGTCTGTCTCTGATCGATCCGTTTTTCTGTTGAATTAATTCCGAAAACTATGAGCTTGAATTTTGAGTTGATTCTTCAAAATCATTGATCCAATATCATTAAAACTGACAACAGAGCTTCTTTACTGAAATGAAATCTAAGTTTGATGCAATGACGGACCTTATTTTTAATTGAAAAAGTTTTTTCTGCAAGCAGTGTAAAGAGTTTGGTATTCTTCAAATACTAGTACTAATTTCTAAAAAGAATATTAAAGCTTTAAATACGGCACATCTACTAAGTGAAGAATTAAGAAAGTTTTAGTATGCCCAGAGCAATTCCTCTTGTACTAGAATATGAATATTAAACTGAGTCATACACATATAAAAAGCTTATAAAATTTCAGAGTTTTTTTAAGAAGAGCAAGCGTTTCAAATGGGAAAAAATTACTTATCGTAGGAAATTGAGAATTCATGATAAGATAGTTCTAAACTTTCGTATTTTTTTTGCCCTGACTTGCAACTGCATTTAAGAGTATTCTATTTTATCATTGTTTAAAGACTTATGTTTTTTTTTCTACGGAATGATTCTCTAGATGAACTGATGAATATTCGACCTTTAATATACAATATTTCCCAAATTTTAATTCAATTTCTTTTTATGCAGATCATAGTGTTCCCTTTAATGGGTACGAGAATCCGAAAGAACAAAAATGTATAGCCACATTACCAAGAACTACTTTTAATAGTAAGAAGTTTTAGAGTTTTCGACATGGATTGTTCTGTGTGTCTGTTGTATTTTGCTGAAAAACAGTTTGCATTTTGAATTTAGTGTTCAAAATCACTTAACTGAATTGATACAATCTGACCAAAAGGCATATTTAGCGTAATGAAATTTAAATCTGATGGAATGATGGGCACCATTTTCTATCAATATAGATTTTTGGCAAACAGTGAAAAGATTTTGGTATTTTTCAAATACGCTTTCTTTTCGGAAGAATATTTTAACTTAGGTTTCAATATCTCAAATTAACTAAGTAAAGAAAGAAGACAACTTTAGTATGCTCATGTTCCTCTTGGGCTAGATTTAAAATTTTTTACGGAGCCAGGGACTTTCACACAAAAATTGCTACAAAATGTCCTTTTATTTTTTTTCTTTGATAAAAATAGAGGACAAAAATGTTCATATTTATACGCAAACGTGCTTGTTTTAATACACTGTACATATTAATCGGGATTTATCTGTAATGAACAAGCAAAGTAAACAAGTAAATTGTGTAACGTGTAACATCTCATTATGTGGAAACATGGTCAAAAACCTGTCATGCATTAGACAAAATAAGCTTCAAAAACGTAAAAAATTACTTTTTTAAAGTTGTTTTGTTGAGATTAAACATCATCCAGCAGTATATTCTCAAAATTTCAATCATATTGACTTAAGGGTTTAAAAGAATAGCAAATGTTGCGTACGAGAAATTGTTTTATTGAGCTGAGGATAGTAATAAGTCATGAAATGATCATTTCGAACTTATTTTTTAGACCCTGTCGAATTAAAATTGCAACAATGTAGCAACCTTATCATCAATATGCTAGAAAATTAAAGAGTATTCTATTTTAGCATTGTTTAAAGACAAATGTTTTTTCTACGGAATTGTTCTCTAGATACTGTAGATAAAGTGATGATAATTGGACCTTTTATATAAAATATATCCTAAATTTCGATTCATTTTCTTTTTTTTTTAACAGTTCAAGGTGTTCCCTTAGATGGATCTGAGAATCCAAAAGGACAAAAATTTAAATCAACTTTACCAAGTACTACTTTAAATAGTAAGAATATTTATTATTTATATGTTATGATGTTAAAGATGAATTTGGACAAATAAGAAGCAGTTACCTCTGGTTTTGCATTATGAAGAAAGCATGTGAAAGGTACCTTCATCAGATCAGCAGAAAAATAAAAGTAAACCCGGATATTTTGATATCAGTTACTTCGAATCTTTCTCGTAAGTGTAGGTTCCAAGTGGATTCCTGTACAGAAAGCTAACACAAATTGCAATGCAACGTAAAATTGGTTGATATGAAGGTTTTGTAAGTTCTGATGAAACACTGCCGGAGTTCAATTTACTGTAATAATAAACATCTATCTTTGAAAATAAATGTATAACTAGATTTGTCTCAGAATTTGCAAGTAAACAAGAATTTGGAAAAAGTAAGATCTTATTAATTTTTTTTTTGAAAAAATAGAAAATTAAAATATTAGAAGTTGATTAAAGAAATATTTTGATCATAGAAATCTAGGAGAACATACCCAGGACGCATAATAATATTTTTTTATTTCTATATATATATATATATATATGACTTGTGCAAGGTTTTTGTCATCAGAGGAAAAAGTCTCATACACCAAAAAATTCCGAAAAATGTCTCTTAGGAATAAAACATAATACAGGATATTATCACATTTGACGACATATTTCTCGAAAGATTTTAAGGAAAAATGTTAAAAAGGGGAAAAAAAAATATTATTGATCGTAGAAAAGTGAGAAGTCATGAAATGATCGTTTTAAATTTTTCATACATGTTTACTTCGTCGAATTAAAATTGCTTCCAATCTGATCATCAAAATACTTCAACATTTAAGAGTATTCAATTATAACACTGTGTGAAAAAATATGTTTTTACCCCCTTGGAATGTTTCTTTAGATAAGGGATGATAAGTCGACCTTTAATGTATGTCTCCTAACTTCCAAATCATTTTTTTTTATCCGGAAATGGTGTTCCCTTTGATTGGTACGAGAATTCAAAAGGACAGAAACTAAAAGCAACTTTGCGAAATACTACTTTAATTTGAGAGAATGTTTATCACCAATATGAACTTTAAATCTTTATTATTTTTTTTAAGTTGTTCGTTAAGTACACGAAGACGTTGAAGGAAGTTATTCAAAAAATCCCTCGTCTTCTTCTTTTATTTGCGGATGTTAGGAAGGATAATGACATGAAAAAGGATATTAGAAATGACAACAATTCTTCACGGTAATTAGTGCATATAAATATACATTTTTGCTTTTATCAGTATGTTTTCTTTTAAGTGTTTGATCATAAACTTCATCATCATCATCATCATCATCACCATCATCATCATCATCATCAATTTCAAAAAAGTCATCATTTTTGCTTCTTTTCCCAATAATGCACAACTGATAGTTTATTCATAAATATACAAAGGAAACATAATAACATTACATAGCCGCTGATATACTGTAGGTTTTATTCATATGGAACATCATTTAAGTACAATTAACCTCTATTAAGTTCGAACGTTTTTCAGCGTTTAAATTAACTATATCAAAGTATCCATATTTTTACTATACCTAATCAGAATATCATTGTTTCACTTGTAAAATAAAATTCTGCTTACACTCAAACAAACACTACAAGGATGTGTGTGTGTGTGTGTGTGAATGTACAAGTATTCAATATTGTTTCGAGGGACACAATTATTGATGTTTTGAGAAATTAAATGTCAAATCAGTTCGGATTCTGTGTGAAGATTCATAGTGTGAATCAAAATGACATGTTAAACAGTTTGATTGTCAAATAGAACTAAATATTCAGTAAATTAACAATGTTTTGCTCAAAGTACTTTAACATATGCTATTAGAGATTGTTCTATCTGACGTATCCGTATCCGTATACGTATCCGTATCCGTATCGAGGTATGAGAGGCATCTCGATCCCGATGTCTAAACCATCTTGTTACATTTCCATCGTTTCAAGTTTGGTTTTTAACCTTATTCACTAAGAAATGATAATTATGTAGTGTGATTTTTTAAAATAAAAACATACAAGTTGCTGTACACGTCTTATGCATCATGTCTTTTTGGGGGAGGGGGTATAAAAGTTTAAAAACAAAATTAAAAAAACAGGTATGATTTTTTTTAAATTTAAATGTGTAGAAAATATTTATAGATCGACCTCTCTCTCTCTCTCTCTCTCTCTCTCTCTCTCTCTCTCTCTCTCAATTTTAGAGTATTCATTCTTCATTCTTGAAATAACATTTACAAGAACACGACATATCCCCAATAATATATATACAGTTAAACCTCTTTATCTTAAACTTGTAAATTGTAAATACATGTACCTGTACATTAACTGGGAAAGATTTAATCAAAGTGCAAAACAAATGTGTATGGGGGATTCACTGAAAATGTCCATCCTCATTTCCTTTTTTATCATCTTCTATGCCATTCATTATCACGTATTTGATAGTCATAGTTCTCCAAAAAAATTTTGGATATCTGGTAATTCTGGGGCAGTTTGAATACACTCCCTAAATTGTAGGTTGATACATGTAACCGTATCATGGGCGTCGGAAGGAAATAGAAAGGGGAACTAGTTGAAAAGGGGTGCTAAACCAACAAAAAAAAAGGTAAACTCCAATTTAATTGCCTTTATATAATGTCTATCTTTGCAAGAAAGAGGGGGAGGGCTAGGCCGCCCCTACCCCCCCCCCCTCCCGGTTCCGACGCCTATGCGTATCCAGGGTTTCAAGGACCTTGAGAAATGACTATGTACAAGATTTGAAAGTGTTGTGTTTAAACGCTGTATATTTTAGACTTGATTGATTAAACACTTGTCGATAAAGGGGGAGGAAAATAAATGTTAGGTTATGATTTATCTTCCTCTCTTTAACTATTTCTTTTTTTGCATATTAACTTCTTGTCATGAAAGTTACATGATGAAGTTTTAAGAAAACAAAGCAAGCTCTGAAAAACTCACCCTTAAATACTATTGTGTGTGTGGGGGGGGGGGGGGGGGGGCAGGGGGCTTATTGCAGTTAACTTAGGCGTCGGAACCGAGGGGCTAGAGGGAGGGGGTAGTCCCCCCCCCACTTTTTTATCCATAGATAGACTTAATATAGACATTGAACGTCGCTGCGTTGGTTAAGCCCCCCCCCCCCCCACTTTCCACAAACACGTTTTAGTTTAGGTTAAATTAATGTGGAAAGTGGTATTGTTTGGAAAATGACTGCTAGTGAAACTAACACCCCCCCATCCCCACCCCCCGAATAGGATTTTCGTGTTTAGACGGACATTTCCTTTTTTGTCTGTCAGTTTTTTTAATTTTGAAGGAATAACAAAAATATTTCTTACAATTAGCCCCCCCTCCAATTACAAATTACAATTTGCTGCCGACGCCAATGGTTAAAGTAGGGTAAGTGGGAGTGTTTGAAAAGAAAACTGTAATGAAAAAAGTTCGACCCCCCCCCCCCCCACACACACTCACACAATAGTATTTAAGGAGTCTGGAAATCAACAAATTTTTTTTCTTTTTTCTGCTTTTTCAGGGCTGAATTTTTCTCTCTTTCAATTAGCCCCACTCCCTACTTTCAATTTCCTTCCGACTCCAATGTGAGGGGAGGTGAAAAGGAGGGAGTTGAACTGGCTATTCAAAGCATATACTCAGAACGTGTAACGGTCCTGAAGCGAATTATGAAATCAATTTGAAAACTCTCTCTAAAAACGGCCACAGAGTTTTATTGATCGCGTTGATGATAAGGTATTTTGTATTTCAGTGTGTTTGGGGGGGGGGGGAGGGGGGTATCTGTTATGTTATCAGTTACGTGTAATGGTATTATAGTGAAAAATACAGAATGAATCAATAAAATATCCTGATATTATGAGAGAGGAAAAGGAGAAAGGGGATTTTTCAACAAATATTTGGAAACAAAATGAAATTAATATGGTTTCATTTTCTTTTTTTTTTAATCAATATTTTTCTTCAAAATGATAGAGGTTTACAGCAGTTTATTATTTTCATAGAAAAAAAATTGCCATTTGTTATTTTTCAATGCAAGACTTTGGCTTATTTAAGTAACCACAAACAGAGATGGAATTGTATTAAATGATTTAGGCATCGGGATCGAGATGCCTTTCATATCTCGATACGGATACGGATACGTATACGGATACGTCAGATAGAACAATCTCTAATGTCTGTAAAAGTAAAAAAAAAAAAAAAAAAAAAAAAAAAAAAAAACAAAACAAAAAAAAAAAAAAAAAACTAAGGGCAAGTATGATTTTTAATACTTTTGATTAAGTAAGATATCGCTACATAAACTTTGGGTTTTTTTTTTTCAGGAATCGTAAGAGAAAATTAGATCTTCGTCAAGGTATGAGGAAATCATTCAATCTGATGCAAGAAATTTTCCTTATTTTTTTTAGATTCATTTTCCATTATTATAATAGAAAATAAAAAAAATATCTTGATTTTAGATCATAAAATAATCATAACTACAGTACCGACCAGACCCAACCTGACACCAAAGCAGTCCCAGAAAGCAGTCCCTGGGACTGCTTTGGGACTGCTGTGGGACTGCTCTGGGACCGCTGTGGGACTGCTCTGGGACTGCTCTGGGACCGCTATGGGACTGCTCTGGGACTGCTATGAAAAGCAGTCCCAGCAGTCCCAGCTGCCCCTGGGACTGCTCTCTGGGACTGCTTTGTTCACTCATGTGTGACAAAGGTTCTGAGTGACATGATAGCTCCGCCCCCTTGTGTATTCTGAATTTGCAGGCTCCCTATTGTTTTGTTTACTTGCAGCAGAGAGGTGTTTTAACTGTTTAATACGCAAGGATTTCTTATAATCCTTTAATAACTGGAGATTACATGTATTATAGTTAATTTATAGTTTTAGGGACTGTATATTTACACAAATGTAATACAGAATATTTTTAAAAATAAAGTTGTTAAATAAGGAAGTTAGGAGGAGATTTTTATTTCTAAAGTATATAAAACTACAGGCTTATGAGAAAAAATATCTACATGTAGATTTCTTTTCTTATTAAATCTAAAATTAAATACTCAAAATTTTCATTTGGCACTATTTAAAAAATCATTACATTTAGATATAAGATATTTTAATTGAAAAGGCTACACGTTTTACAAACACCACGTTAAAAGAGTATTACATCCAGCCCTCAAATAAAAATCTAACAATTTATTTTATGACATGAAATAAAATTATGCCACCATTCTTCCGTAACATAAGCAATGTGAACAATTATACGGGAATTTACAGATGAGTTTTTAATTTATGAATAAGTTATTAAAAGAGTAAATAAAAAAAATTAATAAACAGTTGAAAACCTGTAATACCTGTAATTGTGATTTATTTCTTTTTTGTTTTGCTTTTGTTTACCTGGCCGATAATGTGTATGAATAAAATGGTATAAACACCTGTGGTTTCAATCGCCTTTGGGCAGAAAATCAATCATGCATGTTATTTGGGTACACGTATCAGTGTTACACATCATTGAACATGCTGCTCAATAAACAATGACCCTAATTTCAATCTATGTAAAAAATGTAATGCATAAAAAAGATAAGTGAAATGTGTATAAATTTCTTTCAAGATTAATTAATGTTGAACATAATCTTAGGATTCTATACTGGCCACTAATACAATTTACATATAAAACAATAATTTTTAAATTAACATGTCAGTAAAGAATAATCAATACTGAAAAATATTACTTGGCAAAATTTAAGCAACGAATTTTTCAAAAGCCCTAATACTTTTAAAAAAAATGCCTTTAGAGTATCCCGATAGTATGGAAATCGGCCATGATGTATAATGAATAGATCTATTTAAAACTAATTCTGGTGAAATATAATTAATTCAATTTTAATTTTCTGTATAGAAAATAAATATGGGAGCCAGTATCAATCACAAAAAACCAAGATAATTGTGATTAAATATACATGTTCAGTGTAATTCATTTATGTAGGTGTGTAAGCTTTATTCCTTCAATAAATATGATTTCAAATTGTTTCAAATATATGCGGATACTACTCATACATGTAAATGACCTTCGCATTGTAAGGATTCCTGGCATACTGCTCAGAAAAAAATTCAGCTGCCTTTTATAGTTCCATAGTTTATTGGAAATCTCATTTCTGAGTTAGCCCCACCCGTTAAATTAATAAACCCCGCCCACTGGGACTGCTGGGACTGCTTTCTGGGACTGCTGGGACTGCTTTCTGGGACCGCTGGGACTGCTGGGACTGCTGGGACCGCTTTGGGACTGCTCTGGGTCCGCTGTGGGACTGCTCTGGGACTGCTGTGGGACTGCTTTAGCAGTCCCAGAAAGCAGTCCCCGGGACTGCTCTGGGACTGCTTTGTGTCAGGTTGGGTCTGGTCGGTACTGTAGATGCGTTGTTTCTGTTGATAAGGCAACAGTTGGTCCTCTTACCCACTTTTCTCCAAAACGATATGCTTCTACATGCAATAGATTATAGAATGTATTTTTTCGTTTGCGTTCATGTATCAGTCTTTCTACATAGATCATGTTACTAAAGGTTTTTTTTTTCAATATCGCAAAATTATTTGCAACAAAAAAAAGGTAAAAAAAAAATTACTGCCCCAGCGAGATTCGAATCCCCGACAGTGTGAAAAATTTCGGATCGGTAATCGGTCTTGATTTATGTCAATAAATGCACGCATGCAAACAGACAGAAAACATGAATGTCTTCTAAAGGAAGTTGAAGGAACTCAATAACAAAAACAAATAATTACCTCTAGACAAAGTTATTTTTTTTTCAAAGATTCTGAGATTTTAAAAGCTGTAAAATGAAGACTTATAAGGTTTGAAAAATCTTATGACAGGTTCAGTTTTTCAAAGAGAATTAGATGTAATAAAGAAGGAAGAAGAATCAGAGCCCATGGTTGGTATTTTGTTGTTGAAATATTAGAGACAAATATTGAAAAAAAATTAAAAAAAAATATTTTTAAGATACAAATACACACGTGAAAAGTAATTTCTTTTTTATTCAGAAAAAAATTATAAAGAAAGAAAAACACGCCAGTAAAAGGGGAAAGAAAAGAACCTCGAAGATAATATCGAGTACTTGTTTATATCTGGTAAGTTTAATTTTGTTTACCAAGGATGATAAAGTTTGTCACTCGTGAAATTTGTTATAATTATCATGGATTTTTTAAACGTATAATATAAAAAAGTTTGAATTTAATATTTTATATAATATTTTCTTAAGCATATATTCATTTCTTGGCAAAGACTGTTGAGTAAATGTGTAAAATTGTTATAAAAATATATTTTAAGGAAGCTCTAAACACTAACAGAAACTCAGAAAAAATACATCATATAAAGATATGCATATTGAGACTTTTTCATTCATTTAAAACATAGTGTACGTGCCTTATTTGCGCAGGAAAAATGCTCAAAGACAATGGGCTATTTGTGAGCAGAAATCACCGTTGCTAACTTACATCGGGAAAATTAATGAAAATAATAAATTAAATGTCTTACTCTTGGTTTTATATAATGCGAAAAATATTTTAATCTTTTATAAATTATGTAATCAATTGTAAATAACAATTTCTTTAATCTTACATCTAGGGGCAGATCATTCTAAATCAATAAAACTACCCAATAAATAGAGCTCTTTAGTGTGCAGTGTTTGGAGCGTCCTGAACTAGCATAAAATGAGGGAAAATAAACTCTGAGTAAATCTGTTTGGTGTTTGAGTTTGAAGCTATTACATTAAAGAATTGTAGAGATTTGAAGAATTTTCTACGAAATATATTTTCTTCCAGTACCGACATAAGTAAGTGTTCAATTTTCGTGCATAATTTAATAGAAACATTTTAAGTTGTGATGAAGTACCTGAATGTTATTCAAAAGCAAGCTTTCCTTGCGTAATGTGTTGACTTATCCTGTCTCCGATAAAATCTTGAAGTTTCATTGGTTGGGAGTGCTACTGTATTAAACGATGCATGCTGCCTACAAACGTACTTTGTGATATTGCTAATGTGCCCCCTCAACGTGACCTACCCACCATATATTAAAGTTAACCAATGCTTATCATCAATACTGTTTTCACGTAGCCCGGCATGGAGTTTCATAAATGACGTCACAATGGATGTGGAATGGATTGCTTCCCTCAGTGAAAGCAATCAATTGATACTACAAATATTTATTCTTTAAGACCACCATCGACTGGATAAATTCGTTACGTAGACACTTAGAGGGGTAATACAGAAGTATCTGGAGTCCTTGAAAAAAAAAATACATATTGGACTCGGCTAATGCCTCACCCAATTATGTACGTTTTCAAGAACCCCACATATTTCCGTACTACTCCTCTAAGCTCTAAGAGTCTACATAATTTATATTATTACTTTTAATTATTCAAATTGTCAATCAGGAACAGCAACAGAAAAGTGTCCACAAAGATGAAAAATGTCAAAGGCTAAGTACGTAGCTTTATTTTTACTTCCTTTTAAATGAATAGAAATGCAACAACTTTAGTTGTTCAACATTTCTTTAATGAGTACCTAAACAATCACTTCCCTCCTAGTCTCAGTATAAAACTAGGTACACAAGTGAACTACAACAATATAAGTCTATTTATTAATTTCATTTCTTTGAATGTTTTTGCCTAGGTCAATGAAAAATGTTATGATTTCTTTTAAAACTATATCTTTCTAAAATATGTTAACCTGGTATTTTGCTAACAAAACTATCACAAAATATGCCTTGACTAAATCAAGAATTTGAGTTATTAAGGTCATATTCTAGATTGAAGGCCTAAAAGAAGCTAGAATTTAAAAAAAGCTACATGAAAAAACATCTTTCTATATTTGAGATTAGATTACAAACATTTATTAAATGTATACAAAAAATTGCCATTTTAGCTGATACTCTTGAAAGAACACCGACGGATAAAGAGCTTGCCTCAATCAGCGAATATATTGGAAAAAATTTCATGTTACTGGGAATTCGGCTGGGACTGGACAACATCAAAATCCAACAAATAATGATGAGTTACCAGGCATATGGTGTGGAGTCCCAAATTTTCCAAATGCTCTACGCTTGGAAAAGGAAGGAGGGGAGAGAAGCCAGTGTGGAGAAGCTCCTAGATGCCATTGAAGCCACCACAGATGTCGATGTTGAGAAATCAAAAAGAGTTTTCAAGCTCTCATTTGGATCAATTGTGGACACCTGACGTTGTCACTAAAATGAATTATTTTTTATATTATAATTGTAAGATTATTTTCGAAATTTTCATTGGCTGAAAGAACGTCACGTGAAATTCCCCCATTATTATACAATTATGGATTTCAGTGAGAGGTCAATATGTGGTTAAATGAACTCATTGCAATATTGACATTGACCTCATACAGAGAAAGTGATAGCGATCTCGCAGGCTCGATCGCTATCACTTTCTGTGCCTTAGGTCAATATCAGTTGCAATGAGTCCTTATAATCACATATAGACATACACTGAAGTCCATAATTGTATAATAATATAATATATAATTATAAGTATAATTATATGTATTATATAAGTAGATTATTTTTGAATTTTCATTGGCTGAAATGACGTCACGTGTTATGCCTTCTTTTGTGATAACGAAACGAAAATGTTTCGGTGGAAAATGATAGCGCACGACACAGCGTTCGGTTGCAGTGAAGTTACGTAAAACGTGACGTCAAAGTATGAGAAGCGTGTTTTTAATAATTGTGACGTTATAACAGCCAAGTCTGTTTTGTTAGGACTGTTTCAGTGCATTCACTTTGAGTGATTATATAATATAACTATCATGGACTTCAGTAAACGTCAATATGTGGTTATAAGGAATCATGACAATTAATATTGACCTCAGACACAGAAAACGATAGCAACCTCGAAGGCTCGGTCGCTATAACTTTCTGTGTCTTCGGTCAATATTAATTGCCCTTATAACCACATATCGACCTACACTGAAGTCCCTAATTGTATATTATTATATTTAAAAAACTATTAGTTACATGTATCTTTTCCTTATGTCCCATCTTGTCTCTAAGAATGCAAAAGATATATGATCAAAACAAGGGTCGATTCCCTGATATTTAAAGTTTGGGATTGCGTAGATCGAAATATTGTGTTATTTTATTGTTTGTTGTTCCAGTCAATTATGTTTCCTCATAAAGCAATTCCATATGCAATTGGCTTGTAATGCCATACCTATGAAGGTTTCACAATAAGGAATATCTAAATATTTTTTTTTAAAAAGAGTTTCCCTAAACAGTATAAACTTTGAAGACTTTTTGGAATTATTGCACACATATTTGCCCCCTAAATTAAGAAAGTATTTATCAAGACATCAACCTCTAGAAACTTGAAATTTATTTTACAAAAAAGCAAAACACCACAGAGATGATATCAACACGTTTGGCAGCTGATTTTTTTTTTATTTTATAGTCAAATCCTGATCATGATAAATTTGTACCATAACTATTACACAAATATTGACTATGTTTTCGGGCAACATTGATATTGTTAGCCCCTGAGGAAGGAAATATTGCCCGACGCTTTGCTTCGGACAATTTTTCGTTCTTCGGGGGTTAACAATATCAATGTTGCCCGACAAATAGGGCAACATTGATAATGTTAGCCCCCGAGGAAGGAAATATTGCCCGACGCTTTGCTTCGGGCAATTTTTCGTTCTTCGGGGGTTCAATGTTGCCCGAAAACACAATTAATCTCACTATAAACTCTATATAGACGAATAGTAGATAATTGAAATATTAGTCCACCCGAAAAATATTGACCGTCAATAATTTTTTTTTTTATAATTTACTGGCTAGGAATAATGCATGAGAATTTCCCCACCTTTTCTGTTAAATTCATTTTATTGGAAGATTTCTAAAATGTGACGTAATTAAACCTTAACGATTCCAAAAACAATGTGACGTCACAATAGGCTCGTCGTTGAGGTCAAATATATATAAACAGGTGAAAATGGTTAGATTTGCGGACACCGTCGGACGCGGAGATTGACCCTAACCCTAATTATAAACCTAACCATGACAGACAATTTTGTTTACGTCCTATTTTGCCATGTTTCTTCACAATAAAGAAAACGTAATTCTGTACTGTATTTCAGATAACAAAACAGTTAATATCTTACTAAATATAACAATGTTTAGTATTATATTGAATATAAAAGATATAATGTTCATGGGTATGCTAATGGTGTGTACTGGTTCCAATGTTATGATTATTTGTTATGCGGGTTTCTGAATGACAATCTTTTAATTATCAATCTTTCTATATAATTATTCTTAATTTTTTTTTAGACTTGTTTGGCATCTGTAGTTGAAAGTTAATTGTTTTCATTTGATGTTTAGAAAAGGCATTTTTTCTTTCCTGTCTCAGGATATCAATGTCATTAATTTATACTTATTATCAATTTTATGGTTAGATCTTAGGATTGCATTCTTTGAATTTGTTATGCTTAGCTCTACCTAATTTGAGTGTTTTAAATTTTTGTCATACGGATTCCCCCGTTCATGCAATTTTCTATCCTTAATACATTTGACTGGTCAAACCAAAGTGGGCGGAGTTGTCAAAGATTAGATGTGAGTGAGTTTGTAAGTTAGACAATCTAGTAAAATTTTTTGTTAAATTCAGTTTGTTAAAATGTACTAGGAAAAGCCAATTTGTTCAATCTACGAAATTTGTTTTAAATCATATTTGTGTAGTTTATATTTTTGCACTTACAGTAAATTCTGAACTTTGAAACTGACATCAATTAAGAGCTTTATTACATGTTGGAGAATCTAAATTTTATTTTTGGACTATTCTGAATCAGAACTTTGAACATTTTGAATTTTGTTCGCCTTTAGACAATTACTGAAAATGTCAGCAAACTTTGGAAAAAAAACCAACTCAATATCCCCCACCATCTTCATTGGATTATTTGATTCGCGCAGTATCTATCCAATTATTCTCGTAGAAATAAATGGAAAAGTGAAATTCAGCGGGACAGAAGAGCTACAATCTGTATTTGCTGCACTCCTGTGCTAAGTCCTGTTCGGTATGCATGCCCTCCTTTCCACGCACTTTTCGTTTCGTTCCGTGGATGAGGATTCCCAACAGAACCATGCAAAATGTACCAATGGACAAGGCGCCAGCTCCAAAACTCGCCCCATTCTCAAAAATGACTATCCAACCACCTATCAGACATAGAATTGAGAACCATGATGATCGGAAGTCTTTCATTACCTAAAGGGCTTCCTCTGATACTGAAATTAATAAGAAAATGTTAAATTCAGCGGGACAGATGAGCTACAATGTGTATTTGCTGCAATCCTGTGCTTAGTCGTTTCGGTATGCATGCCCCCCTATCCACGCACTTTTCGTTTCGTTCCGTGGATGAGGATTCCCAACAGAACCATGCAAAATATACCAATGGACAAGGCGCCAGCTCCAAAACTCGCCCCATTCTCAAAAATGACTATCCAACCACCTATCAGACATAGAATTGAGAACCTTGATGTTCGGAAGTCTTCCTCTGATACTGAAATTAATAAGAAAATGTTAAATACAGCGGGACAGATGAGCTACAATGTGTATTTGCTGCAATCCTGTGCTAAGTCGTTTCGGTATGCATGCCCCCCCTATCCACGCACTTTTCGTTTCGTTCCGTGGATGAGGATTCCCAACAGAACCATGCAAAATGTACCAATGGACAAGGTTCCATCTCCGAAACTCGTCCCATTCTCAAAAAATGACTATCCAACCACCTATCAGACATAGAATTGAGTACCATGATGATCGGAAGTCTTTCATTACCTATGGGCCTCCTCTGATACTGAAGTCCACAACAGAGTCGAGTTCATTTTGGACCTTTCTGGGTCATAACTTTGAACATTTTGGATTTTTTTGTCGCCTTATTAGACTATTACTGAAAATGTCAGCAAACTTTGTATATAAACCATCTCAACAACTCCAACCATTTTCATTGCAATTTTTAATTTTGGAGTTTTCACCTATTTATCTCGCTAAGATTAATGAGAAAATGTTATTTTCAGTGCGACAGATAAGCTACAATCTGTATTTGCTGCAATCCTGTGCTAAGTCTTGTTCGTAATGCATGCCCCCTCTCCACGAACTTTTCGTTTCGATCCGTGGATGAGGATTCCCAACTGAACCATGCAAAATGTACCAATGGACAAGGCTCCAGCACCGAAACTTTCCCCATTCTCAAAATTGACTATTCGGCCACGAGAACCATGATGTTTGGAAGTCTTTCATTACCTACAGGGCTTCTTCTGAAACTGAAGTCTACAACAGAGTCTAGAGGATTGCTGGGCAATGTCGAGCCAGGAGCTGGCGTACCTGCGAGGTTTCTTTTGTAACATCACCTTTTGACAAAGTCAGTTAAGCTGTTTTATTCCACTTTATTAACTGCTACTGCTTTTTTTAAAGCAATGATTCTGAGATGTACATATGTTAATACATGCGACAAGGTATTTATTTCAGTACTTTTCATATAGACCTGTATATTAAAATTCCTTACGTACAGTTTCATGAAAGTATTTTTTTTTTCATTTAGATATGCGATGTACCTAATGGTGTGTTTTGTTTTTAATATCATTATAATTATGCACAGGCACGAGTGTATCTATTTTGTACAAGTCTATATTTAACTGCAAGCTTAATAGCGTACACTTTTCTTCTGGTGCTACAAAGGATGCAAAGTTATTTGACAACTTACACCAACGTTCACGTTACACGAACGATTCTGCACAATTTACGCTTGATAAAATCTGCTACATGAATGACACTTTACGCACATGATTCTACACTTTACACGATCGTACACGATTGATAACGCAAGGTTCTTCCTTAAGCAAAATGGTTCAAAATATTTAAGATTTACTATTTTCAAAAGGAAAAAAAAGGCATAATACCTATTTTAAGGTTCAACTATTTTTTTTATCAATCATTGACTGAAAATATAATTTAGAAAAAATAGAAATGGATGTTTCTGGAAATACTTACATTTATGTATGACTTATCAATTACTTTTTATCAAAAATAATTATTTACGTAAATCTCAGACTTAAGAAGCCTGTATTTTCCCCTTCTACTTATAGAAGACCTGCATGCAGTCGGACTGTGAATTTTGATTAAATTAGATTTCTTTATGTGCAGTAAGTGGATAAGATCGATAGAATTGGTATTAAAGTAAATTTAACCATACATTATGCATAAATCCATGTTTCCATTTAACAATCTCGATATTTGCATTTATAAGACGA